TTTTTTATTGTTGTGCTGGGTGGTACATTGTGGCATTTACAAAAGTTTTTACAATCTATCAAAAATATTATACTTGAATTCACCCCCTCCACCATTCTCCTTTGTGCCCCCCACCCCATTCCTGGAATAGTTTCAACAGGTCTCATGTTCCGTTTACATACATGTGCACATAGTATTTTCACTATATTCACCTCCCACACCCTTTCCCCACCTCTTCCCCTCTTCCACTGGAAACAACCCCCCAGGAGGACCTATTCTACCCTCCTGTTCTCCAATTTTGTAAAAGAAAAAAAAAGTGACACATTTTGTTTGTTTAAGACAGCTACACAGAGAGTTTCTTTGAGACATTTCCATGTATACATGTATTACAGCCCAAACTGGTTCATCTCCTCTATTTTTCTTCTTTCTACCTTAGTCTCCTTCTTATAATGATTTCAACAGGTTTAAAATAGAATATATATTTTCTCAAGTGCACGTGAATAGTCTCCAGAACAGATCACATGTTAGTCTACAAAACATGTCTGAATACATTGAAAAATACTGAAATTATACATTTTTCCCTGAACAAAATAGAATGAAACTGAAAATTAGTAACAAATAGAAAAATTAAATTTCACAAGCATGTGAAATTTAATACAGTTAACCAATGGATCAAAAAAAAAACCCTACAACTTTAGAAAGTACTTTGTGCTGAATGAAAATGAAAACATAAAAGGCAAAGCTAGTTGGATTCAAAAAGAGTAGGGAAAAATATGGCTATAAATCTTTTTTTTCTAAAAAGGAAAGATTAAAAAATAATAGCTTTAAGTACTAGAAACAGAAAAGATAAACATAAAGATACCAGAAGGAAACACTGAAAATTTGAATAAAAATGAAACACAATGGAAAAACAAAAGTGAGAATACAAGGACCCAAAGTTTGTTATTGGAAACAATCAACAAAATTAAGAAAACTTTACCCAGACTAAGAAAAAATGAAAATAAAACAAGAATTCCAAACAAACATTACTACCTACCTCAGAATAGAAAGACTTTTTTTATATACTGTGAACAATTTTGTGCCAGCAACTGCATATCCTACATGGAATGGAAAAACTCTTAGAAACAAACAAATTACCACAACTCAGTAAAAAACAGAAAACCTGAATATAGCTACAATATGCAAAAAGATTGAATCTGTAATTAAAACTTTCCCAACAAAGAAAAATCCAATAGCAGCTTGAAATTACTTAGCAAGTAATTTCTTTAGCAGACACACCAAAAACCTGTATGGTTATACAAAAGGGCAGAAGTGAATAACACTTTTTTTCAGTTTTATATCAAAGTGGAAAACGAAAATTATGTCCTAAAACATAAAGTTCTTTGAAACTAAAAGCACACTGACAAAGCAGAGATAAAAGAAGGAATAAAAATGAATCAATAATATCAAATTTGTTGAACATACAGCAGGGACACACCATTTCCTATGATCAGGTTAAGCCTGGTTAGATTTTCCACTAACAGCTATAAGTATTGTAAGAGAAGATTGTAACAGGGTTTAAGAAAAACTCAAGATCAGAAAGTACTGCTATGAAACCAGTCCAGATCTGTTTCACCAATGATCTAAAACCATACTATAAAATAAAAGGAAAAGACTTCTCTAATACAAGAAAACAGATGAGAGAAAAGCTTCTAAAAAAACAGGGAAGGTGAAATAACTTTTTAAAAATCTCTTTGTGTTGGACTGTAGCAGCAGAAGGGTGAGGGAATCCTTTGAAAATCAAAGAGTTTTCACTCATTTGCAAGAGGAGAACATTAGGAAAAAACAGGGAAACCAGTTTATATTTTGCATCTGCTTCAACTGCTACAGGAAAAAAGGCATGTCTGTTAACCATTACAAATAGTAAACATTACGTATTTTGTTATTTGATGCAATCAAAGCACTTCATCTATGAAGTAATTACTGCAAAAAATTATACTAGTCTGAATCTAATCATGAGGGAATAATCAGACTAATTTAAATATTCTAAAACCATTTCCAAAAAAAAATCAACAAAAATCACAATGGTCCAGACAAGTTTAGATTAAAATAAAGAATTTCATAACTAGGGCTAGAGGCATAGCTCTAAGTGGTAGACCCCTTGCTTAGGCAAGTACAAAGCCCTAAGTACAAACCGTACTGCAACCAAAAAAAAAAAAGTAACAACGAAAGTCAACATGTAATCTTAACATAATTTGGGAAATTGAAGTATGAACTATGTGTTAGATAGTATTATGAAATTCATAACTTTTGTACATGTGCTGACGATATTGTAGTCATGTAGAAAAATGGCTATGTTGGAAGACATGCACTGAAGTGTTAAAAGTGCAATTCATGATATCTGCACCTTCCTTTACATGGTCAGAAAGCATGCACACATGCACATGCACACCCCTACCCCTTATGGGAAAGGGAGGCTGACAAATAGTAACAATTAGGTTATGGAAAAACTTACATGGAAACTCTACATGTTATATATTTTTTCATGTTCAACAATTTAATGAGTAATTTCAATTTCTGTAGACTAAAGACAAATTATAAGTCTTGAATAAAAGGATATTTCTGATATGCTTTGTGAAGAAACAAAAAAAATGACACAAACTTAAATGGACAAGAGTTCTTCATTTGGTCCAGTAAACATTAGAAGCAGAGAGTTTATTGTCAGCCTGCATGGTCCAAGAAAGGAAAGTCTGCTTTTGCTTTTTTCATTACAAGTCACCTGAATGTGAAGTATTTTGCTATATTTGGTCCACAACTGCAATGTTGTGTTGTTGTTCTCGGTTGAGACAATGTCTCACTATCTAGCTCAGGCTGCCCCGGCCTACAACTCACTTACACAGTTTAGGTTGATCTCTAATCTGTAATCTTCCAGTTTTAGCTTCCCAAGTGCTAGAATAGGCACAATTGCTTTTTTGTTGTTGTTGTTAATGGTATTGGGGTTTAAACTCGGGGCCTTGTACTTGCTACACAGGCACTCTACCACTTGAGCCACATTTTCAGCCCTTTTCTGCTTTTTTAGGTTATTTTTTTCAGACTGAGTCTCGTGGTTTTTGCCTAGGGCTAAACTCAGACGGTGATCCTTCTATGCCACATGTATTACTGGGATGAAAGTCATGTTGAGATGGCATTTCGCTAACTTTTTGCCTAGGCAGGACTCAAACTGATCCTCCAGGTCTCTGCCTTCTAAGTGTCAAGTTCCCTTTCCATCTCCCCACCATACTGTGATACAGCCAGAAGTTTCTCATCAAAAGCCAACTGGCAGGAGAAGGGCACTCAATCTTGGGCGTTCAGTTTCCACACTGAATAGCTAAATAAATCTCTTTTCCTCACAAGCACTTACCCTCAGGTTTTTTGTTATAGCAACAAAAAAACAGACTAATATAGTAAAACATTTAGTCATCCTTAGAACTGAAACAAGCCCTAAAAGTGCAGATTCACATCTAGTTAATTCCCTGGGTTCCTATTACTAAATGTGTAAATTATACCATCTCCTAAATGCAATGTTCTATGTCTAATTAATTTGATTTCTTGTCTTTGAATCTGTTGTACCATTTGTCCCTAATTATATGAGAAATGCTTGATTTCCTAAGTTATTCCAAGAATCTCCCTGGCTACTCAATATTCACAAAGCCCAGATTTTAAACACAGCTCTCTTTTTTATCGTAAAAGTACACACACACATGCACACACGCCCTCTCTTACACTTTCATTTGTCTAACAAAACTAAAAGCAGCACTGAAAAATGCAACAGTTCTAAAATAATGTCAGCATTGAAAATTTTCAGATGTAAAGTTTTCTAAACACAAAGGCATAGTATAAACAAGTGTTTGAACACGTACAAAGAACATGCAATACTGATTTTTACATTACCTATACATTCAGAGGTAAATCAGAACAGAATTGTGGATGTAAAATTTACTTTGAAATGTTATGGGAAATATGATTTATTGTTTTTTAGAAATACAGATATCAACAATAAAATAAAATAAAAATAAAAAACCAAAAATATAAATGAGGAAAAAATATCAATTCATAAAAAAATGAGAAAACCTATAACAGCTAGCCTGTGACTATTCTGACTTTTCTATTTCTTTTTAATAATATTTTGGAAACATATAAATCCTGGAGGAAACAAATGAAAAGAGAAGAATTTTATTCAATTCTAAACTAATCTTTAGTTTAAAAAAAAGTCTATAAAGACTGAAACAGACTAGCAAGAATGCCTCAATAAACCACAGCAAAACCTTATATATCACCATTTAAAGCAGTGTGTAGTCTTCAAATAACATGAACACACTGAAGTAAGACACTACCACCAAGGGAAGATGGTTTAAAATAGAAACACTAAACTTCAATTCAAATATAGATCAAAATGCAGACCATAGGAACACTATTTGCAAAACATACCAGAAAATGAGCATGAATACTCTGAAAGGATACTATACATTGTCTCCCCAAAGGAAAAGAAGCTTCAGGTTGCAAATATGTATGGCTTCTATTCTAGCCTTGCATTTGTCTGTGTGCTTCATCCAGTCTTAAAGTGGAACTGACAATATTCAAAACACAGCTTCAGGCTCCTTAAGACATTTTGCACTCTGCTAGGACCTCAACTCTTTCTATGTTTCTGTAACTGTAAACAGCAACCTTTAGTAGCTCAGGACACATCCTAAACATGTACTGACTATGAACAGACAAGAAAGCACAAGATGTGCTAGAAACACAAAGACGCTTTCTAAGAACTTACCTGTGGTTAAGTCAGTTGAATATAAAAAAAAAAAAAATGACAATTAGAAATGACCACAAATGTTAATAGCAAATAAGTGAGCTAAAGCATAGCAATATATATAGGAGCTCACTGAAATAACTTATCAAAGCTCACAAAAATGCTAGAACCTGGGTTTGGGCTTAAGGAGAGGAAAATACTGCAGCATGATAGCATGAATAATGGCTACCAAGCAAGAAAGCTTGGGCTTCATACTTACTGCCATGTATGGCCTACACCCAGCATCTCTTGTCTTGGCAATGGAGTCCACAAGCTGTCCACTGATCCCAAAGTCACAGAGTTTAATATTTCCACTTCTGTCCAGAAGAATATTGGAAGGTTTGATATCTGCAAGAGATAGATGTCTTTAGATATACAATTAATCACTGAAATGAACTATATTCTAAAGTAACTTAATCAAAAATATTGAAAAATGTGAGACCTTAATAGTGGCTAAGTTTTTAAATTCAGAAGTGAAATATCTTGATTTAGCACATGCAATCATTATTGATATTTGGAATACACAATGTTAGCGACTAGAAGTGTATAAATGTGACATAGGTAAACTCATTTCACCAGCAACATCTTAATAAGCCAAAAACAGATATGGAGGAGGATTTTTCTCCTAACTTCATCATGTTCATAAAACATATACAAAACTATCATTTTTCTCTATTGGAAAGGGAAAAAAGTTTTTCTGGAAAAGTAAATAGCGAAAAACAGGGCTGGCAGCATGGCTCAAGTGGCAGAGAGCTACTTAGCAAGCTCAAGGCCCTGAGTTCAAACCCCAGTACTGGCAAAAAACCAACCAAAAAAACAAAAAAAACCAAAAAAGCTTCACAATAAATTTATACATTTTAAAATGTTTATTTTCATCAAGAGACAATGTTTTCATTTACTTGGTCCAAATTCATTAGATAATAGTCAAAATAGGAATAACAAACCAAATCTATCAGAAAGCACACTAAACTAATTTATAATAAATTTCAAAACTATAGAAATAAACATAAGGTATACAAATTATGGCTCATTAAAGTGAAGCCTATCTAATGTAGGAAAGTATCACATATGTGAACGTTATCCAGTCTCAATAAATGCAGTCAATTATTTCTAAGAAATTCGTTTTGATCTTTAATGGCTTCATCAGTTTCTTACAACCAACTTTCTAAAACTCATCCCTGAGAAATCAGACTATTTTCCACCACTCCAGTGTATACTTTCCTTCAAAGTGAAGAAAGTCAAGTCCCTTCTTACTGACAATCAACTCACCACCTGTATGTGCCAATCAGCTATCTTTATCCCTATCACAATTCTATTTCATTGTCAGTATCATGGGCCAATGAATAAAAAGATTTGTAAATACGGGACTCAGAAAACATCTATATATAGAAAGTAACTCAAAAAACCAAAAAAACAAAGATCTCCTATCATAACTGACACAGCTGACTGCCTTTCCAAAATATCCATTCCTAATCACTTCATCTTTGCATGGAACCTGCATCTTGCTAGTATCTATTCTCCTACATATGATTCTGCTCCTCCAAAACTTGGCTCCTGACTGGTCTCAGCATTGTCAGAGTAGACTCATGCTCCTGATAGAAATTAGTTTCAGAAGATGAGACAATTCTAGTGAATAGGATATGAGAAAACAGTAAAGATATGTAGGGATATTTTCCTACTCCTAAGACAACCATATAGGAATTGAGAGCCTCTTATTCAGGAAGCTATGATATGATACTATCATATCATATGCTGTAGTTGTTACCAATCAAAGTTCTCACAAATATATAATGTTTTAGAGAAATTTCAATTTGCAACACTAATTAAAGGATCATTTTCAATTTACAAAACATTCTCTAACTGAAGATGAAACATTTGATAGGGACAGAAGGGGTCTGGGAGTATAACTCAGTGGCAGAGCAGTGCCCAGTATCCACAAGGCCCTGGGTTCAATCCCCAGCAATGCAAAAAACAAAACAAACAAAACCAAAACCAGAAAAAAAAGAAAAGAAAACCTTGAAGCTTGAATGACATTTGAATATTCACAAGAGTACCTTGATGTCTTCGTTGTATGCAGAAAAACATTATCAGGCAAAATGAGTATTTTTTTATTCATTTAACTTATTTCCTTTTATTAATTTATTTTTTAATATATATTAATTCTACAAAATAATGGGTTTCATTATGGGCACTAATTATTTTTTAATTAAGAGCAGTAGTTTATCACAAAGTCTAATTTCTAAGCCCAATATATCAGTAAGTTAGAATGAAATTTATAGAAATCCAAGAGAGGACATAACTAAAGTTTTAGAGTACGTAAGAGCATTTTCTGCTAAAAGTACAAATATTCCAGGAAAGTTTAGACAGTGACAAGGCAATTTTGTTTTTTTAATCAATTCAGGAGAAAAATGTTACTTTCTATTCTACAAAAAGCAACCCATACGCACCTCTGTGAATAATTTTCAAGTTTTCTTTTAAGTGGTTTAGTGCTTTCACAGTCTAGGGAGAAAAAGAAGAAATGGCCTAAAGAATTTGTTTCTTTTAAATAAAACAGCACAACAGTTTGTCATATGTAATAGCCCATGTAGCCCCTTGTGTAGTATTTCAATATTCTCTGTCATTTTTTGTTGACTGAAGATGCTAAATGATGATTTTAGATCTGAAAACTTAGTTGCCTTTACCTAATGCTCTCTGACATATAAAAAAGATATACTTTGTTCATAAGTCATTAAAAGGTTGTACTGTGTTTTTTGTACCACAAATCTTTTCAAGAATAAAACAGTACAAGAGAGTCCAACAGAATGGCTCCACTGTCAATAATGATGACCACTACTTTTCACAAATCCTCAGTTCCTCACAACCACTCGCCCTCACTGGGTGCTAAGCCTTCAAAGTAATTCTTGCGGAGCCAATATACCTGCTCAGCCAGTACAGCGACTCATCCACAATGTACCCTGCTGCCCTGTCACTGCTCATGATCAGAAGGTCACAGATTTCTTCAGAAAGGAGCGGCTAGAGACTTGGCTAACCATCTGCTATAAAAAAGTCAAGTCTCTGCTGTCATCAAGCTGCTGAGTATGAGGAATGTAGGACACACCAGCTTGTATTGCCTCAATAGCTATGCTTATGTGTTCACTGGTCTATTAATTAGCAAGAGACTTAACATAAAGTAATTTTAAATATTGTGCTTAACATATAAGGTGATCATCAAGTCTGGAAACATAGACAAATATAAATATACAAATTATTCATATGTATTGCATATTGCAATACATGATAAAAATAATTTTATCTTTGTTTTCCAGTTTCATGGTCATCCTGTTGTACAGTGGTTAAGAGTAAGTTCTGGGACCAGGCCGCATGGGCTTTAAGCATCTATCATAAACATCAAAACAAATTAATTATGTAACCTTTCCATACTTCAGGCTTATCACCTGCAAAAACGATTTACGCTATGTGCCATCGAGAGGTGCCGTGAAGATGAAGTATGATGAGACCTTGGCTGGACACGAATAAGCACTCACTAACGATTAACTATTGCCATTCGTCTACTACTGCCCAGGACTATTCCACTGCTGCACAGCACCCTACAGCCCATTGTTCTGAACAGCGGCAGCAAGGTCCAAGACAATGCTGCTTTGTACACTAGAGAGATGTCTAAACTGATTAGTGTAAGACTTCATACATTCATCTACATAATGATAAATTTCTCAGCTTTTTATGAAAGTATATGAAATGGAATGCATTATAAATTTAACTAGCTAATAAACATTTAAATTTAATCAATTTGGTAAAGTGATAAAATTTTGACATAAGACCTATCAATCTTAAATTATAATGACTGTATCTCAATCTAATTGTTAAAATCCAGTTAAACAAACACATCTCTTACAACTAAAACACAGTTCAGAAATCATCCACCTTTTTAACCAATCTAATGACCCTTTCATGATTAACCGGGACAAACTGGGAAATGTCAGGTGAGCTATGCTGGAGAGGGAGGATCATGCAAAAAAAAAAAACCAGATAGGAAATTACATGCAACATTAATTCCTGTATGATGTAGCTTACATATCAACTAACCCAGAACAAGTCATTAGCTGAGATTCTCAGATTCTAAGAATCTTATTGATTTTGATTTGTTAAAAATAAACTGTCTTTCCCTTTGGGAAAAACACTTGGAAACACTTGCCAATTAAAACATTCAGAGCAGAAAAGGATGTGATCATGAATTCACCTTCAGAATTAGAAACACATATTCAAAAGAGTACTCTGGTAAAAGTGAACTGACCAAACTGTCAATAATGCTGGTTCCTGAAATTGCTAGTCAAGATTTTAAACAGTTAAAAATGGATAATGTAAATCTTAAATCATAGTGAACATACAGCCTCAAATACATTTCTACAATTCTGATTAACTTGGGAGTAAATGTAGTCATATAACCTACTTTAGTATAGTTAAAGCAATGAAAGAAAATAGCTTTTTCTAGTTTTATTTACAGCTCAGTCTTTGAGATCTGAATGAAACAGCACTGTCAGTATTTGTCTACATGGTATTTTGAAAGTGTTCTTATGATCCCACAGCAGTGACTTTTGTATTGCATCCTAATATGCATGACTCTCCCAGAAGGCAGTGGCAATCTATAAAGGACATGCAGATGTGCATTCCAAACACGAGCAACTCCTCTATACAATTACATATATACAATGAACAGTTGGAAGATCAGGTACTTACTGCTAAAGTGATTTTGCCTAAAATTTCTTCTGGAATAACATCATCTAATACACTATATACATATTTGTAAAACTTATCAAACGAGGTAGACATGAGTTCCATACAGATCCAACAGTCACCCTGTAAGACAACAAATATCTGTTATTAATATTAATCACCTCTTTGTTTTTACTTAAATAGAATTAGGAAAGAAGTCAAATTCTTTTTTATACTGAATCTTGAACTAGTGATAATTTTTGGTTCCTAATAGAGGCCTGGGCAGAATATTCTACTCAGGTTTAGACACAAACTAAGAGGTTAAAGTCAACGTTAACCCACTGTGGTTGCACACACATTTAAACTCCAAGCTACTCAGCGGCAGAAATTGGGACAATTGTGGTTCAAGACCAACTCTGACAAGAAGATAGTGAAACGCTATCTCAAAAAACAAGCTGGGCGTGGTAAAGCACACCTGTAATTCCAGCTGCAGAGGAGGCATAGATAGAGGAGGATCACGGTCTGAGATAGGCCTGGAAAAGAAAATGAAAAGCAAAAATGGCTGGGAGTGTGACTCAAGTTCAAGCTCTGAATGCCAAAACCCAAAAATTTAAAAAATAGTAAGTAAAGCCAATTTTACCTACCCGTAACCATACAGACAGAGAAGACAGTCTTACACAGGAAATGTTTGTGTTTTTAAAAAAATTTCAAATACCATCACAATTGAACACAAAATTAAGAAATATGTGGAAAGCCATTCTTTCTCTTTAACAAAGAAAAGAGATGACAGAGAGCAAGCTAATAAAAGTCTCAAATTAGCAATAAATCAAGAAACTGGGATGAGTGGGGGGAATCATAAAGCAACCCTGCTCAAATGCCACCTTCTCAGGGAAGTCCACTCTAGATGACATAAAATACAAGTCACCTCACCCAGCATTCTCTACCCTGTGTACTCTGTGCATTCTACCATCTTCTAACAGAGCCTGTAATTATTTACTATGTTTCTCACATACCATCACTACTAGACTGTATCCTTTACCAGGCCAGGAGCACAGTGAGTATTTCTTAAATGAGTGAATACTGGCTAAAATTAAGCTGAATCATTCAAACACTGACTGCAACATTACAGATTGTTTAAGCCAATATGAAAGCAATTTTATAATAAGACAAGAAAAATGTAATCTGGTAATATTAAATGGAAAATCCCAAAAACAAACAAATTATAAGTTGTAAACTTCCTATTTATATACACATAGGCCACCTCAACAGACTGTTTTGATAAAGGTTCAGTGGTTTAACAAATGACAGGTACTAAAAAATAGTTACAAAGAAAAATAAATAGGTAAACAAAAGAGAAAGAAAGACAGGAAAGCAGGGGGGAATAGAGGTAAAATATTCACTGGGAACTGAGGATGAGAAACAGAGGTAAAGGTACTTGCACTACTCAAAAGAAAAACATGTTAGAAGATGATCAAATACTAAACTACTAACATAAGGTTCCTAAAGATAAAATGCAGATGAAATAAATAGTATACTTATATGCCCACAATAGCTAGTTAGAAAACAGAATATTTAAAGACACCACTCACAACAGAAATAAAGCCGAAAGGCACAGAGGAATATAACTAACAAAATAGGCAAAACACTTATGAAAACAACTGTAAAATGTGGCTAAAGGACACAACAAGAACCTGACCAAATGGAGAGACGGAGCATACTTACAAATATAAAGATTCAAGATCATAAAGATGTCAGATTCCCCCCCTAATACATCTAATAACTCAATAAAATTCTAATAAAAATTTTCGTGGACCTGAAGAGCTTGACACAAAAACTTATATAGGAAAGTAGAGCCAAGAGCAGCTGAGACAAACTTTAAGGGGACTGGCCTACTAATCAAAGATTTTTTTCCTAACGCTATTATAATTTAAAGATATATAAGGACCTGGGATATAACTCAATGTTAAGTGCTTGCCTAGAATGGGCAAGGCCTTGGAGGGATGACTATCCAGACTCAAAAGTCTATGTAAATTCAGAAATTTGATACCTGCTAGAGATAACAAATAGTGGGGAAAGAGTAGAGAATTCAATGAATGCTGCAGGACAACTGGTCTTCCATAGAGAAAAAAATATATAAATTAGATCTTTACTTCAAGACTTTCACAAGTATAAATACAAAATTTCCCAATGGATTTTTTGTAAAAGTAAAGGTTTAAAACTTTTGAATGAGATTTTCATATCTCCAGTATAGGAAAAAATTTCTTCCCAAAAAAAGACATGAAAAGAATAAACCACAAAAGATAAGGCCTGTCAAATTTAACTCTAGCAAAACAAATGCTTCTGTATAATAAAAGAACATCATAGCAAAAGTTCAAAGGAAGATAAAAACATTTATTTAGGTGTAAAGAAACAAACAACAACAAAAAGGCAAAGCTCACAGCTAAACCCTGGGGTGCCAACTGAGACCCTGAGGTAATCTTAACAATAGCAACCACAAATTACGCAAGCCACTAAGTCTCCATTACTGACACCTGGATATGATTCCTGTTACAGAAATTCTTGCACATTACTAGTGGAAATTTAAGTCAGTACAACCACAATTCATTCAAGTTGAAGACATTCTTATGATTTAAGCTACTAATTATATTTCCAGAACAGATGCTAAAGAATCTATAACCTAAATTGTCAAAGAGACATACAAAATGATCTCTTAAACATAACTGCAAAAAATTGAAATATTCTATATTAGGATTACTTTAAAAATCAAATGATATATTTAACCAGAATACTATCCACCAATTAAAATAATTTTAGTAAACCTAAATATTACAGATCTGCATTTACATGGACAAAGTTTGAAAACTGTTGAATAAAACATACTATGGAGGATGCATAGAGGATGATTTCATTTATGCAAATGTTGAAAATACATGAAGAAATACTATGTATCATTTAGGGAGAAATGAATATATGGAAAGCCTACTCAAACTGAAGGAAATATTAGATTCCAAGTAGAGTTTAAAACTAGAGAGTAAAAAGGGGAATGGGACAAAAGCTTTAACCATATCTATAATGTTTAAAGATAAAGAGTAAATACGACAAAATACTAATATTAATAGTGGGGTTTTAGTATACTATTATTTATTATTCCTCTGTAGTTTTCTGTATGCTTGATATATTTCATAGTTTTAAAAGAGCAAGGACCACCTTAAGAAACTAGAAAAACAAAAGCAAACAAAACAAAAATAAGAGAAAAGCCTCGAGAATACAAATCTTCCCACCCCCCCCACAAAAAAAAAAACCACAGAAAATTTGTATGGAAAATTAATGTAACTGAGATTTGGTTTATTGAGATCAATAAAGTTGATAAACCTCTAGCCAGACCAATCAGGAAGAAAAGCACAACTTACTAATATCAAGAATGAGCAAAAGGAAGGAGAGGGAGAGAAGAAGGTTTTATCGATAGTAAGATAATAATAAGGGAAAATTATAAATAACTTTATTCCAATAAATCTGATAATGTGTAAGAAAGGAACAGATTTCTTCAAAGAAACTACCAAAGATCACTCAAGAAGAAATAGGTAACTTTAACAGAGGTCTATCATTGAAATAAATTGAATTTGCAGTTAAAAATAAAGGAAAGAATACCAATGTATACAAATTCATCCAGAAAATTAAACAAGAGAGAATATTTTGCAAATCATTCTATAAAGTTAGCATTACACTGATACAAAACTTAGTAAAAGCTCTTCTGACTTATAAGAATTATAAGAAAACTTCTTATAATTCAACTGCGGACCAATATTTCTTATAGATACAAAAAGTCTAAATAAAAATTTAGCTAGTTGGTTAAAATTTTAGCAATTTAGCAAACTGAAAATAACAGTACTCAAATAAAGATAAATATCATAACCAAGTGGATCTCTCCCTGAAATGCATGGTTGGTTTAACACTTCAAACAAACATCTCAAGGATGTGGAAAATAAAGTCCATTCCTGATTTGTTAAAAACAAACAAACAAAAGATCTCAGCAAACTAAACATAGAACTTCCCAATTCTTAACAGAGACATCTACAAAAAACCCATAGCTAATATCATATTTAGTGGTAAAAAGCCTGAATGCTTTTTGCCTAATGAAAATCAGACAAAAAAAAAAAAAAAAGACAACGACATCCACTTTCACCATTTCTATTTAATAGTGTACTAGAAATTCTAACCATTGCAATAAGATAAGACAAAAATAAATTAATAAATGGCATGCAGTTGGATCTCACAAGCTTGTTCAGAGATTCTAGCAGGGAAGCACAGCTACTCCTATACTCTTGACCAAAGAACTGTATCAGGGAACTGTATCAGGGAAGGTCATCCTCTTTGACAGAGAGTGCAGGTTTGGGAGGCATGCACATGGAGTGGCAATGGAGGAAGAAGACACCCACCTAGCCAGTCAGATCAGCTGAATTAACTCTGGTTATGAATGGGATGACAGATGTTGCAGCCAGATCGCCCTCATATCCAGTGACACCCACTTAGAGTGCTATTGGATATATTCACAGGCAATGTTGTTCTATGTAAGAAATATGATGGAATCTACGAACAGCTGCTAGAAACTAAGTTTAACGAAGTTAAAGCACACAATCTCACCTTATAATATCTGAATTTGTTTACATTAACCACAAGAGGAAACTAAATTAAACATTGATAATATAAAAAATATTAAATACTTAAGGGTAAATCTTGCAAAAAATGTGAAAGATCTGCACAATCAAAACTACAAAATACTGATGAGAAAAATAAAAGAAGACATGGAGTAAAAATACCATGCTAATTGGTCATAAGCCTTAATATTGTTAAAATACCAATTCTCTTACTAGCTGAACAGACTGACGTAATTTCAATTTAAAACATAATCCCAGTTGGTTGTTGTTTGTTTTGAAGTGGTATGGAGCAATCCTGCCTCTGCCTCCCAAGTGCCGGGACTTTATGCTAATATCACTGTACCCAGCTCAGCTGTTTAGCTGGTACCCACACAGGTTGTTTCCACCTGCTAGGTGATTGTAAAATCCACATGGAAACTGGAAGAACCTGAAAGAGCCTATGCAACTTTTAAAAGAACAAAGTTTAAAGACTAACACTCCCAAACCTAAAGATTTTCTAGTAGTCCAAGACAGTGTGGGATCAGTGCAAAGACAGACAAAGAGATCAACATAACAACTTGACAGCCAGAAACAGACCCACATTTGTACCAACAACTGATTTCCTATAAAAATGTAACAGTTACCCTTTACATATGAGTGCGTGTGCAATATATGTATCAATGCATAACCCTCACCATATGTAAAAACTTATGCCAAATCAATGATAAATAAAAATGTGATGCCTGCAATTATAAAGCTACTAGAAAATGTAAGTGACCTTGGTTGGTCATAGATTTCTTTGATATAGTATCAAAAATGTAATGCATAAAAGAAATAACTGGAAATCTGGCCTCTATTAATAATAAAGATTTTTTTCTTCAAAAAGTATCGTTAAGAATACAAAAAGTTAATCTAAAGAGGATCAAAGTATGCTACATATATACACATAAAGACAGCATAATGAAACCCACCAAACACTGTTTGAAAAAGGGGAGGTAGGAGAGGAGAACATAAATATAATGGAGGAGGTACACATGCATTTAATTGCCACAATGAAATCCCCTTGTATTATTAATGTATGATAATTCAAAAAGAAAAATAAAGATCTTTAAAAATTTAGTATACAAATAGAAAATATGTGAAAATCATATTTGATAAAAAACTTACATTTAGAACACACTTTAAAAACTCATGATACTGAATTTTAAAATCTAGTTTTTAAAAAATGGGCAATAAATTTGAATAGAAACTTTATCAAAGAAGACATACAGTTGACAGGTAAGCACATGAAAAGATGCAGAACAGTGTTGGTCGTAAGGGAACTATTATAACCACATGAGATCACACATGAGATGTGTAGTGAATGGCTGAAAATTTTATGACATCAATGCTGAAAAGGAAGAAATCAAACTTTCTCATACTACTGGTATAAGTATAAAATAGTACAACTGTCTTGGAAAACAGATTGCCTGGTTTTTAAAAAGTTAAACACATAAACCTACTAAGTGATTTAGTAAGTCAGCTGCTGGTTATTACCCCAGGGAAGCAAAAGCACACGGGCAAACAAAGACTTGAACCTAAATGCCTGTAGCAACTTCGTAATGGACAAACAATTGCCCCAAATGGAAATGACAGTCACAGGTGAGTGAGTAAATTGTGGCATATCCATAAATGGAATATTACAGATAGTACTCAACAATAATTTGATATGTGATACAACATGGTCCTACTTCACTTCATGATTTTAGAGACAGTTGGATGACTGGAAATGAGTGTGTGAACTAACAGATGGAGGCAGATTTGGGACACAGAATATTCAGAGGCCCAAAGAAGAAACACACTCATGAAACCAACAAATCAAAGTATTAGTTTCTACATAAAACTCTGGGTAACAGAATTAGAAAAAATAATTTGTATTGCAAATATTAGTTTCCACAGCTGATGTGTATAACTGAGGATTGTGGGTGGAGAAAAAATGTTTACATTGAATGCAGATATTATTTGATAACAAAAATGAGTAAAAGTTTAGACAGGGAGGCAAAGGCCAAAAGAAACAGACTCTAAACCTATTTTAAACTGCAAGCATTTAGATTTGTCAGCTTCTTAACAGAAAATATTTGTAGATTAAAAAAATTATGGGATTCAGAAGTAACAGCCTTAAATACATACAAATGTATTTGCATATGTATATATGATAGTCATCCATTAATCAAAGAACAATGAATGGTGGGAGTCAACATATACATTAACATGGCTCAATACTACAATACTGAGGCATCAGCTTATTACTAATGTGTGGCATTTGGGTGGAGATTAGAATCTAATGCTGTTATCCTCTTACTTGTCCCAATAAGACATTCACTCATCAGCTAAAACCCCAATAGTTTATTCCTACCTCTCTGAAGAGTGCACCATAAAACTGAACAATGTATGGACAATCACTACTCCGCATTACTACATCCAAATCCATAAGAAGCTGTTTTTGTTCTTTTTCATCCACTGTTGACCGTATTCTCTGGAAAAGAATGACAACAAATGTCATAAAAACATCAAACAGTTTTAGAAATCTTAGTAAAACCTCTACTGTAGAACTGAAAATTACTAATTTCACAAATACTAACAAGACACAAAAACAATCATCTTTCCTTTATACTTTACAGAAAGTTTTTATTGCAGGAAAAAAATTAACAAAATAAGCACTCAGGAATTCTTTAAACAGCACAGGACTTTGGACAAGCATTCACTGATAATGTTGGAAGTTATGCAACACAATTCTTGAGCAATGAAAATTAACATCCACATGCAACTATAAAGAAAATCGTAATGAGTTACAATGGTTTCATATGAATAATTATAGGTAACATCATACATGTTTTTAATCACCATTTCAGAATTTTAAGAGAGCTAGCATTCAATGTAAGAACAGTCCTCTTTACTCCCTAGCGTTCCTCACACCACAGCATCCTCATTCACTAGAGAAAGGCAATAGTCCAGAACAAGAAAAGTGAATACTAGTGTGAGGCAGTGCACACACAAAATCCAGCTCTCTTAAATCCTAGACTGGGACTCTCTTCCTTCACCCCACTTTCTGTACATTACAAACCAGAAGTTCTACCTGATTTTCTACTCATGAGTCAGCATATGGTTCTGCATGAAACTGTGGGAGAAAACCTAAACAAAGAAATAGAGGGCTCTTTTTTGTCTATCCCTAAGTTGATGAGGCACTCCTTTGTACACTGCAGATCTGGGACATATCCCCAACCCAACTGTACAACTTCTCTGCACAATTCTCAGAGACTGCCAGAAAAACATTAGTACCTCTACCGCCTGCCTCCCATCCAGGGACGGTATAAAATGTGTAGGTATGCAAAAAAAACAGTCCCCATTGCACTTGAGAAAGAACAGACTCAAGTTCAGAATATATATAACATTAATAATGGAACTATAGCTTAATATTAAAGCATGCACACAAGTTTTATATTCATTAAAACTTCACAATGTCACACCGCGTCACTATATACAACACATAGCACATACTTACAAGGCAAGTTAGTATCAAAAAATACACAAGGTAGCATTTTGTCTTCCAAACACTTCAAGGTATCTGTTCTCAATGTTCTTGAAAGGGATGAAGGCAGTCAATTAAATTCTTGAGCCCACTTTACAGAAGAGAAACCAGACGCATAGAGAGATACAAAAGATGTATTCCATGTGATATGAAAATAAGTAGTTGTTTAAAAGTAGGGAAGCAGGTTCTCTCGGTTTCATTTTTAGTCCCTACATGAGAATTCCATATGCTCCAAATAGAAAAAAAAAAGTAACTTTGCTACTTAAATTTATACCTTGCTATCTACAGTTATTTCCTATCAAAATGTGTTAACAGGCATATATCTTGTATACATCAATTTTAAAAAAAAATTTTTACATTGACTATCACTGCCAAATAAGGACAGAAATAAGAACGAAAAGCAGAATAAAAAAGACAACAAAGTTAAATATTTCCTTTCTCTGTCATTTCTATACTTTCATATGTTTGGAATTAATACTTTTGAATCTAAATGTTCAAAAAGAATATTTTTAAAAAGTCAAAGAAGCCCAAAAATGTTTGTTCAAAACATGACAATAAGTTTTTAAATTATTTCAATTACACTTATTTATGCTTTTAAAATGTAACTTTGAAAGTGAAGCTGTGAAAATATTCAAGGTGATTATTTTTAAAAGGGTCTTAGTAGTCACATACATCTAAATTTAAACAAAGAGTTGATAACTAGAGACAAGCACAGAAGAAAATTCAAGTTACACTCTGGTTAGAAAAGATTTCTACCTACTAGTAAAGAATTCTCACTATTGCAGGATAAAAAAAAACTACTTTTTTTCTACCTTATTTGCATAGATATACTGGCAAATGTATATACACTAATACACATGCTTACCAGACAACATTTAAAAAGATGTTGTCTTTGCTAATTTTATTGTTGTTCTTGCTGTTTCCCAAAACTGGTCATGTGGCTTTCTAAATTTACATTTGTACATATGCTAATACAACTCTAAGAAAGTATACTATAGTCAAAAGTTACCAATATTTGACTTTTGGAAGTTGATTTTAGAAACCCTGCTGTGGCTGCAGAAAGAACACATGCTCCTACATAAACTAGAGGCCTGACATCTCTGAACCTAACTGATAGCTAATATTTAGACAATCCCTGACAGAACTGTTATTAAGCAGAATGTAGAGATTATTCCTGGAATAATTCTAACCTTGCATCACATGCAAGAAAACCTATTCGTCTGTAACATTCTTCAGTGCCACTTCTAGCACACATGGAACATGGAGCAGCTGGATTAGCCTACTGGTCTAACATGAAATTGAAGGTGCTCCTGGATGCTTTTCAACAAATTAACGCTTTCATGCCCTCCAAACGTTCTGTCCAAGTGACTGGCTGCGGATAAGAAAGCAGCTACCTGTTAGTATGTGTATCTGATTTACTTGGGATTGAACAAGTACAGCTAAATAATTACACCGAAGTTTTAGGGCTGGGTTGTAACACTTATCTTATATGAGCACTTAATAAAATAAACAAATTCCAAAGTCCTAAAGGATCCCAAACCAGGGATTAAGTACAAACACACACCTACAATAACAATAATTATTTTAATTGAGTAACTCAACAAGTGAGGTCATCAGGATCTTTAATATTAAGGAAACATAACTATGTAAGAGTAAACATATCAATAAGAACAAACTTCCCTTCCCTTTTAAATCTGCCCTTAATTAGGAGCATAGGAAAACAGAAGTGCAGAACTAAGCCAATGATGTTACCTGAAGCTCTTTTGCAATCACAATGCTAGGAAATCCTATCTGTTGGTAAATGCTTTCAATTCCAGGAAATTTTCATTGACTTATATCATAAATTTAAGTCACATAAGGCTGACGTTTATGTGAGTGTAGCAAACTTTTCTCTTTCTCTTCTTTTACAGCAATGGGAAATGTCCACAGGAGACCACAAAATATTTTTTAAGGTTATCTCAAGAATATCAAGTGTTAAAGAATGTTTCGTTTTCACCCAAGTATTACAATTCATCAAAATTGTTATTTTTCTTCATTATGAGATTGAGTTCTTACAGCTGTCATTTTTATTAAACTAACTTAAGTTATTTCATGCCTTTGGAACAAGCTAAACTTTTTCTTTCCTTTTTTTACCTCTTTTGGAGGTACTGGAGTCTGAACTCAGGCCACCTGCTTGCTGGGTAGGCCTCTACCACTTGAGCCACACCACCAGCCCTTAAACTGTCTTTTTGAAAAACAATTCACATCTCTTTTCCAATGCTGAAAAATATTTTTGGATTATTTCCACTTTTACTTTACTTAAACATAATATAGAGAAAATATGTAAAATCAAAAGAAGAATTACTACCCTACATATGCAAGTTGTTTTCCAATGAAGAAACCTACACACTTAAAGCTAAGAAAAAAATTTTTAATTGTTAAAATTTGTATTCAAGGTTCTTATATGCTAATAAAACTTTAAAAGTAGGCAAATACCAATAAAAACAACATGAAGGTACCGATTAGAAATGACAAATTGATTCCAACTAAAGTCACTGGGGAAAAGAATAAATTTCCAATTCTCTGGTTTTAGGACTAGTATATTATATACATGGTTCTTACTGAATTAAAACAAATAAATACAGAGTTTCATTTTTTTCTAAAACTACCAATCCAATTCACACCACTGACTGGAGTAGCTGTAAATTCAGTTTTTGAGAGTTCCGTATGGACTAGGATGCAGTTATCAAACATTAATAAGTCCCATGGGACAAGTTAAAATTTTTTAGTTAGAAATTATCCTCTTGTCCTCTCCTACCACATTATAAAACAGGACTGTTTACTTTGAGAACAGTCCCAATCATAGAGAAACGGCCCAAATCCCAAGAAGTTGTTGAAAGGTTACTCTCCTCCTTTCTGCAGAATAAGGTATCTAGAAGTTGCTGGTAAATTTAAATGTTGAAGCCTTATATTTGACTTTTTGTGGAATGTCTCTGGTTCTAACATCTTGAATATAAAGCATAAAAAGTCCTTTTTAAACTGATACTGAACAACTCTACAAATGTGGTATTGTTCTAGATGTGCTCTAATTTTACAATGAGATGTCCAGGGCATCTTCAAAATAATACAGTTCTCTAGCCTTATGTCTAAACCCTGCCAACCCCACTTCCCACACAAAATTTGCTGATACTCATCAGAGATCAATGGCTAGTGACAAAACTAATAGTAAGTATGAGGGGCTTTGATGTAGATTAAGACACATTGTTACTATGGCAAGAGATTGGAGAAACTTGGTAAAACTAAATTCACAAGACCAGAGGGTAGGAAACAGAGTGACGCAAACAGGATAATGGAAATAGGCATTGAATACTCTTAAGGAAAATTAATATGTGACTTAATCTAGCCACAATGGTGATTCTCCTCTCTTACTTTTCTAAATTTATTTTCAGTGATAAGGAGAGAGAGGGAGAGAAAGTACAGGGAAACAGTACAATGATGACTCAATGACCACTGGGGGTGAGGTTAGGAAGACTCAAATGCGGCAAAAAGAAAAGGAAGGCAGGCTGATAGTACAATGGTCAAGGATGGAATCATAGAGGAAGAAAATAAGAAAGGCTCACAGGCTGGTCCTAAGCAGCATTTGCCTAGGTGCTACAAAATCACCTAGCTGATTCTCATAGTGGTCCTTGTCCCCCTTCTCCCACCACTCTGATTCAGAGTTAACCCTTTTATCTCCAAGTCAGTGTTCTCAAAAATATCTCAGTTTCTAGAGCACCAAAGACTGCTTGAAGTTATTATTCTGTGACTCCCTATGTCCTGATGTAAAAAGTACTTACTCTCAGAGTTTTTCTTCCTATCAAGTCAAATCATGAGAAAAGGCTAGGCAGATAACAAGCTCTATCTCTTGAACAATGTGTGTGTGTATGGAGGCACTCTGAGTTACCTGATCCCATTCCTGCTTGGAAAAA